TTGCTGTACGCGGGCCTCTCACTGCCGTGGCCTCTCCCGTTGCAGAGCACAGGCTCTGGACGCGCAGGCTCAGCGGCCATGGCTCACGGGCCCAGCTGCTCCGCGGCATGTGGGATCTTCCTGGACCGGGGCACGAACCCGTGTTCCCTGCATCTGCAGGTGGACTCTCAACCACTGTGCCATCAGGGAAGCCCTACACACCGATGGCTTTTAAAGCTGTGAGACTTGATGAGACACCAGGGTAGTGAATGTAGTTAGAAAGGAGGTGCAAGGACAGAGCCCTGGGACAAAACATAGAGGGGCCAGGGAGATAAAGAGGAGCCAGTAAAGCAGGCTGAGAAGGAGAGGCCAGAGAGAGGGGAGGAAAACAGGAGGATGTAGTATCCTGGAAGCCACGTGAAAAAAACGATTCAAGAGCTCCCTCTTGAATTAAAAAAATGATCAATTATTTGAGAACTGAGAGTTGACCATTGGACTTAGCAACATGGAGGTTACTGGTGATCTTGATTGGTTTTGTAGAAAATAAAAATTGAAAAAAATGATCTTTTTATGAATTTTGTTTAAAGCCTCTGGACAGATGTTAAGACTTCACTTAGACATTGTTTTAGGTAGATATTTTTTATTACTGATTTTATAATGTAAATCAGCTAAAATAGGTGATTTTAAAAGATGACTTCCCCTGTGTTTATACGGTGATTCAGGGAAAAAAGGCCAAAAGTCAGTCAGTCTTGCTGAAATTAGAATCACTGATACATTTGGAGTGTGATCTTGGTTAGTATGCTTCTCAGCATGATCCTTCTCCTGAGATGTAGGATAAGGTTATAAGATGGAGAAAGTTCCAATTTCATATTAAAAGAGTATGATAGGAATTTCAAAGAATTGATTTAATTTACTTCATTATCAGTTTTCTAGTTTTTTTAAGGCAATAACTTTTAAATGTAGTGGTTTAGAACTTAAAAGTCTTTGTGGAAGTTCCATTCACTGGTAATTTTTTCTTTTGCTATTATATTTGATTATCAATGTCTAGAATTTATGTTATCTTAAAAAGTTCCAAGGAGTGCCTTTTGAAAATATAGTGTAGGTTGAGAGTATTTCATGAATACTCTTTTAAATTCCATTTAAAACGTTGTTAGAAAGTGATTTTGAGAATTGCTAATTATAGAGTTTTAACCTGGAACATTTTCATTATTGAAAATTATTACCTATCTTCATGTTATTTAGGAAGATTTTTACCTCTGAAGACAATGTTAGGACCAAGATATGACAGTCAAGTTGCTGAAGAAAATCGGTTCCATCCCAGTATGCTTTCAAATTATCTGAAGAGTCTGAAGGTAAGAAACAAAACATTTTTTTTTTTTTTGCGGTACTTAGGCCTCTCACTGTTGTGGCCTCTCCCGTTGCGGAGAACAGGCTCCGGATGCGCAGGCTCAGTGGCCATAGCTCACGGGCCCAGCTGCTCCGCGGCATGTGGGATCTTCCCGGATTGGGGCACGAACCCGTGTCCACTGCATCAGCAGGCGGACTCTCAACCACTGTGCCACCGGGGAAGCCCGAAACAAAACATTTTTGATATTGATTTAACATACTTTATCCCTTTCTTGTTCTACAGGTGGCTTTTAATTTTTTTTAAATTAATTTATTTATCTATTTTGGGATGAATTGGGTCTTTGTTGCTGTGTGTGGGCTTTCTCTAGTTGTGGCGAGTGGGGGCTACTCTTCGTTGTGGTACGTGGGCTTCTCATTGCAGTGGCTTCTCTCGTTGCGGAGCACAGGCTCTAGGCACGCGGGCTTCAGTATTTGTGGCATGTGGACTCAGTAGTTGTGGCTTGCAGGCTCTAGAGCGCAGCCTCAGTAGTTGTGGCGCATGGGCTTAGTTGCTCCGCGGCATGTGGGATCTTCCCGGACCAGGGCCGAACCCGTGTCCCCTACCTTGGCAGGTGGATTCTTAACCACTGCGCCACCAGGGAAGCCCCTGCAGGTGGCTTTTTAAAATAAAACTTTTATTTTGAAATAATTAACTGACTCAGAGGAAGTTGCAAAAATAGTACATAGAGTTCTATATACAGAACTATCTCTTCTCTACTGAGATAGAGAACAAGTTAGCAGGTGCCAGCCTACAGGGATGGGGGTGGGAAGAGGGTCTGACGGTAAAGGGGTAGCATGAGGGAGTTCCTTTGTGGAGAAGGAATAGTTCTGTAACTACCACCATGAATCTATACATTAGGTACCGGAAGTTAGGACTTGAATGTATGTTTTTAGGGGGCATAATTCAACCCATAACACCAACCATTGTTCTCTTCTATTTTAGACTCTTGGTGGTCTGTTACTGTATGCTCTCTCAGTACATTCAACAAATACTGGTACCCATTATGTGCAAGTCTCTTATGGGATGGTAAAGATGCCACTTAGTTTTTGATAACCTGTTACTCATCCCTATTCTCGGTGTAGTTTTGGGTCATTATTTGTTTATATCTTTTATTTTAGCTTACTTGTAAACTTTTAATTTTTATCTTCATTATTAATATACGTTTTGAAAGTCATAGTTAACATTTATAGAGCATTAACTATTTCCTAGGCAGAGTGCTAAGAGCTTGGGCTTAGCACCAATTAGCCTGGGTTTGATTTCTGGTTTGCCACTTAAGCTTTGTGGTCAAGTTACATAATCTCATGTTTTAGTTTTCTCACTTGCAAATAAAGTTAGTGCATTTTTTTTTTTTTTGTGGTACGTGGCCTCGCACTGTTGTGGCCTCTCCGTTGCGGAGCACAGGCTCCGGACGCGCAGGCTCAGCGGCCATGGCTCACGGGCCCAGCCACTCTGCGGCATGTGGGATCTTCCCGGACCAGGGCACAAACCCGTGTCCCCTGCATCGGCAGGCGGACTCTCAACCACTGTGCCACCAGGGAAGCCCAAGTCAGTGCATTTAAAGCACACAGAATAGTGCTTGGCACAGAGTAAGGACTTCATTTAAATCTCACAACAACTGTATGAGGTGGATACTATAATTATCCTTATTTCATGGATTGGGAATCTATAAGGAAAAATAATTATGTATATGTAATAATATTTATGAGTATATGTGTATACAGAGAGACACATTCACACCCAAACACATTATTCACACAGACACATCACACACACAGACACACATTTACCCACATACATATATATTGGCTCAGGGCAGCTAAGTCATGCAGTACAGTTTCTTGGTTTCTGAAGTATTCATATGTATTTAGAAAATTCATATTTTCTTGCTCATTCCCACTTTTCATTCACTTCTTATTTTGGACCTGAAGACAAACAAAATGGGTTCTAAATCTAACTAGTGAAAAGCTGTAATATGGCATCTAAATCTTTGCATTTGGCAATATATATCCTCTGAAGGAATTAAGATCACTGAAGAAGCCTTTGTGGGAAGAGAAGAGAAGTAGGCCCAGGGGTGCAGATAGTACACAAAATGCCATAAAAAATACATTTCCTGGGGAAGTGAGAAGGTGCTTGACTGGAAGAGCTGTCTATTATCCATACATGAGCTAAGAAATCTGGAGAAATCCATAGAGCACATTAAGGCAGCTAGTTATATTTTAGAAGTGTACAATTTTGTCTGTTTTGTGATGTATGAAATTTAAATGTTTTTGCCATTCCCCCCTACAATGGAGTTGAATTCGTTTTTTTTTTTTTTTTGTGGTATTGCGGGCCTCTCACTGTTGTGGCCTCTCCCATTGCGGAGCACGGGCTCCGGACGCACAGGCTCAGCGGCCATAGCTCACGGGCCCAGCTGCTCTGCGGCATGTGGGATCTTCCTGGACTGGGGCACGAACCTGTGTCTCCTGCATGGGCAGGCGGACTCTCAACCACTGCGCCACCAGGGAAGCCCGGAGTTGAATTCTTATGTAGACCAGTCTTCTTTAGGCAAACGCAACAATAGGTACTCAATAAAAGCAGTAACAACAAAAGGGAGAAAAATAACAGTTTAAAAAGTACAGGTTGTTTCTCTTGCCATTCTTCTCAGAGAGTATATACTTCAGAATGAGGTGGAAGATGTTTGGATTAACTGTTCTTTTACTTGGCTCAGTTCCAGTGTGCATATATTTCAAGGCTGAATATGATTCTGGTTGTTCAAGATTTTTCAAACCTGTGGCCCCCTAACACAAGCCAACTACTTCAGTTTCTGCTCAACAGAAGAAATAATGATTTTTGTTCCCATACAGGAAGAAAAACTAGCTGAGGAATGGGAGTAAGTCTTCAATGAGATGCACAAATACGGCCATGTGTACTGTTCTTTATTGATTATTTAAGGGATTTACAAGGGAATTTTAACTGTACACACTTTTTGCCCTGTGTACTCACTTGAGAATTTAACTGCCTAACGTGCTGTAGTGATAACAGCTCGGAGTGCTGGGTTATTGTGTGCCTGGAGCTTTGCTTGGGGTGTGTTTCAGATAGATGATATCCCTGTTCTAGCTTCTTGTCTAGTAAATCATAGGTGGAGTGACAGATGCAGAAAACTACATCAGTGTTTGCTTTTTTAGGTACACTTTTGTAATGTTGAAGTGGAGTCTGTTTTGCTTATGTTTTGTTTCATCATTAGTTTGGGGATTAGTTTATTTTATTTAGTGCCTAAGTTCTATGTCTTGAATAAGACTTGGATAAGTGATACTTTCATTGTTAATAGTTCATTGGTAGAGTGAACCTAAAGTCTCCCTTAGTGTAGTTGAATGAACTGGCTTGGAATACTGCCATTTAGTCAGTTTGATTTGGTACAAATTCAGTTACCAGTAAATCTGTCCTTTTTTCTTTCATTCTTTTTTAAGGTTAAAATGGGCTTGTTGGTGGACCTGACAAATACTTCAAGATTCTATGACAGAAATGACATAGAAAAAGAAGGAATCAAATATATAAAACTTCAGTGTAAAGGGTAAGTCATGTATTAAGATTCCTTAATATTTAAACCTTCTGCTGAAATTTGTAATCTCTTCTTAAAAAAAAAAATGTTCCTGTATTACTAGACATGGCGAATGCCCTACAACGGAGAATACCGACACATTTATTCGTCTATGTGAGCGGTTTAATGAAAGAAACCCGCCTGAACTTATAGGTATGTTTGGCTTCACTTTACCAATGTTGAATATTTTCTTTTGTGATTGGGTTTCCATTTTCTTTTTTACAAGTGAGTTGATACGGAAGTTTTTTTTCTTTTTTAAGTCATCACCAAGAAGCGTTTACTAAAGTAGTAGACTAACTTTTGTTTTTTTTTTTTTTTTTTGCGGTACCCAGGCCTCCCACTGCTGTGGCCTCTCCCGTTGTGGAGCACAGGCTCCGGACGTGCAGGCTCAGCGGCCATGGCTCATGGGCCCAGCCGCTCCACGGCATGTGGGATCTTCCCAGACCAGGGCATGAACCCGTGTCCCCTGCATCGGCAGGCAGACTCTCAACCACTGTGCCACCAGGGAAGCCCAATTTCCAATTTTTAATGTAATTCCAAGCAAAATCCCAATGAGACTTTGGAAAAATTACTATGAAGTTAATTTCTATTTGTTAAGTCCACTGCCTCCATTAAGTCAGTATTTATTGAGTACAGAAAACAATTGTTTGGCAAATCAAACAGGTGAAATTATGAGCAAGAAAATTTTGAAAGATAAAAAGTAACAAGGGGATTTTCCTTACCAGTTATCCAAGCATATGGTAAAGCAATGGAAACTACAGTGGTTTCCTAGTGGTAGAGATGTTTTCCACATCAGAGAGGGAAAGTGTGATTATTCAACAAATGGTTATGAGACAATTAGCCAACTGTATAATAAAATATATTTTAGATGGATCAAATAGTTTTGAAAGGTACCATAATAATATAGGAGAAATATAGGTCAGTACTTATTTAACTCTGAGGTAAGAAAGGGTATTCCAAGTTTATCATCAAAGGCAGAATCCATAAACAGGTATTTTTTAAGCCGTATTCCTGGACCGCCTGCATCGGAATCACCTGAGGATGTTTATTAGAAGTGCATGCTTTAGGGCCCCGTACTGGACTTGTATGATCAAAACCTCTGGGAATGAAGCCTAGGGATCTAATTGTTTTTAAAACAAGCATCTTAGGTGATTTTTATGTACAATTAAATTTGAAAACTGCTGTCAAAAATTAAAATGTCTATTCATGGTAATAGTAACAGCTGGGGTTAATGAATGCTTATTATTTGCCTGGCAGACTTGGTGGGAAACTCTGAATGAATGAATGAAGGAATGAATGAATGTAATCCTCAAAACAACTCTGTAATATGTGGCAGTATCCGTATTTTACAGATAAGAAAACTGAATCTCAGAGAAATTAAGTATAGTTTTTCCATGGTAACACATCTGATAAGTGGTTAAGCCAGGTTTGTAATCCGGTTTCTTACTTCAAAGTCCAAATCTCTAATTACTTGCTACACTGGTTTCTAGAGTGACCACATAAAAATGAAAAATAAATTCTGTATTATAAAACACAATAGAAACAGAGCAAAAAGATATTTGACTAATTGGGAGCAATATTTGAAGCATATATGACAGATAAAAGTTAATATTCTTATATACAAAAAGATTTTATAATCCAACAGGCAAAAGAGGCATTTCTCCATAGAAAAATATGGAAAACAATGAAAATGAAATTTATAAGAAATGAATTACAAATAGCCAAGAAACATGAAAAAAATTTTCATTCTCACTTGTTAACAAGAGATACAAATTAAAATATATGTCGTTACCTTCCCCCATCAAATTGGCAAAGATTAAAAAAGAATTATAATGTCAAGCTTTGGATAAAGTGGATGTACTTATATATTATTAATTTGAGTGTTAATTGGTACACCCTCTCTGGAGGGCCAATTTGGTGATATTTCTCAAGATTCTTAAAAGTGTTCACACACTTTGACTTGTCAAGGCCACATTTAAGAATTTATTTAAAGGAAGTAGTCAGAGATGGACATAAAGGTTTATGAGAAAGAAATTTAATCACATCTTCATTTGTAATTAAAAAACTGGAAACAGCTTAAACCTCTGATAGAAGCAGATCATTTATATTGTACAGTATGCAATTTATTTAACAGAAGAACAATAATATGGGACTATATGACATGGTATTGTGATATGTATATATGTATATATTTACACATTCACATGAATATATGTAACAAATACACACATATTTAGGATACAACTAGAACATATACAGCTTAAAATAGCATTGAGACCTTTATTTGAACAATTAAAAACAACTTTTTTCATCCGAGAGAAGCCATTGTAGGGGTAAAGAAGAAGAATTCAAGAAGAACTTCAAGAACACTTAACATCTGGAATCAGATATCCTGATTTCAGGAAGATTAATACTCCCAAGTCAACCCTTGTTATAAATTGTCCGGTTGTATTCTTAGAAGAACTGATGGGGAAATTTTCTAAATTGAGTGTTTTATGGGTTATAAAAAAAAATTATAGAACTGTGCTACAATATATTATATGTTAATATATATTATTTGTTTTATATCACTGGTAGGGGTTCTCTTCATGAGGATTGAAGTGGAAACATTTGCTTTGGGCCTGTCCAGTTTTGGAGCATTGTAGTGGCAATTATTTATTGTAATACTCTGAAGACAACAACAGAAACTGGTCTTAGAGCTGGTTGCTGGTAACACCTTTTCAAACAAAAAGAATAAAGAATCAAGTTTGTGTTCTTAGGATCAGAAAATATTGGTCTGCTTTTACAATATTTTAATTGTGTTTTAGTATCAGAGATGGAATTTTCTTTTTCTTTTTTTTTTTTGCGTTAACGCGGGCCTCTCCCTGCTGTGGCCTCTCCCGCTGCGGAGCACAGGCTCCGGATGCGCAGGCCCAGCGGCCATGGCTCACGGGCCCAGCCGCTCCGCGGCATGTGGGATCCTCCCGGACCGGGGCATGAACCCGTGTCCCCTGCATCGGTAGGTGGACTCTCAACCACTGCGCCACCAGGGAAGCCCCCAGAGATGGAATTTTCATCAGCCTTGCACACGTTCTTGCTGAAGCATACTTGTGATCAACAGTAGACATTTGTGACATGACAAAAGTTAGATTTATTTTCAAAGCTACTCTTCTTTTTAAATCATCATTTTACTGTCAGTTCATGCAGTTAGCCTGGTTGTGGGATAATACTGTAGACTTAGTGGAAATGAAAAGTTCTTGAAACACAGAAGCCTCAGATGTTTTCTGATGTTTAGGAAGAACTAGAGCTTCATAATCCCTTATCTGAAACCCGTGGGGGTCATATGTTTCCAGTTCTTACCATATGTTACCTCCCCTGGAGATAGTACCCCCTAATTTTTCTTTATTGTAGGAATTTTCAGTCATACCAAAAATAGGGAGAATAGTGAAATGACACCTCATGTATCCATCATTCAGCTTCAATAATTATCATTTTGCTGTTTTTTTTTTTCATTTTTCCTCTCCTCCCCTAACAGATTTTTTTCTGAGTATTTTAAGTTAGATCACAGGTACCATGTCATTTCACTTAAAGTGTTTCAGTATGCATCTCTAACTGATAAGGATTTTTGGTTTTTATATAATCACCATGCAGTTGTACCAAACAGAATAATGAGAAATTCCTTAAGGTCATCTAAAGCCTAGTCTATTTTCAGGTTTCCTCAATTATAGAAAAAATGCCTTTTTAAGTTAGATTTTCAAACCAGTTTCCAATAGTGTCCACATGTTGCATTTTGTTGTTATGTCTCTTAAATCTCTCTGATTTGCTCTCTTTTTTAATGCTATCCGTTTGCTGGAGAAACCACATCATTTGTTCTATAAAATATTCCATTATCTGGGTCTACCTGAGTGCTTCCTCATAGTATTAGTTAACCTTTTCCTTTGTCTTCTGTATGTCCTGTAAAATGGTAGTTAAATCGAGAGGCGTACTTACATATTTTGGCAAGCATACTTCATAGTTGGCGTTGTATGGTTCCTTTCACACCACATCAGGAAGCACATAATGTCTGGTGGTCCTGCTTTTAGGGGTACGAAGATGATTAAGTGGGTTCTGGTGGCACCATCTTGTTTCCTCTGTTACAGACATTTTCATCTGTCTTTTACCTAATGATTTTATTATCCATTGATGGTTGCTGCCTTCATCCAGTATTTCATTAGGGGTTGGAAAACAGTGATTTTTTTCTTATTCTCTCTCATTTCTTCATGGATTAGCTGGAATTCTTCTTTAGTAAAGAACTATTCTCAACAATTTGATTATCCTGAAATGCAGTTTGTAATGGAAAGGCAAGTTAAGCATGTGATTCTCTTATTTCTTTCTTTTTTTTTTTTTTTTTTTTTTTTTTTTTTTT